GTCCATTGCTCCAACGGAACCTCTAAAAATTGTTACAGAGCTTGGCACTCGAACTTAGATGACAATAACTGTTCAAAGGGTGGAAGGTGAAGATGCTTTATAAAGCCTTCATGTACTTAGTCTAATGACGTAGATTGGCGTCAATAGTAACTATTCAGTTAAAGAGTTTAGTCAAGCGTTGTAGTATTAATATTGCACTAAGAGGTATTAAACAAACAGCAGCTTAGAACAATTAGTTTTTCAGGAAGTTCAAATAATACCATTGTTTTCTTTCAGCAACCAAGCCGCATTGAATCATAAAACATCACGAAAAGATGTGATCACGATTGCTAACGTTGCATGACTTGTTACTGAGGGATTTCAATTTCGTGCCGGCTGTTTGGATTAAAAGGAACAATCTTTACTTGGCGACGATTTACCTTCATTTTAAATGATATTCAAGGGGCGCCAATTTTTAACACTCAACTATATTCGTTACAAACAGCATGTAATTTAAATATTAAGTAGGACAGCATACTTCTAAAGTAAATTTGAAATGGACGGTAGAGTGAATTTATTGGTCATTTCCTAGCATATAACAAGTGTTCCCTTTAAGATACCTGCTTGTTTGAGTAGTTTTGTATTGAAGACGTGCATAAACTAAAAAACATAACAATTGATGGGCCGAAAGAGAGCGATTCTAGCGAAGAATGAGCTACTGCTTCTAAAAGAATTCACAACGCATCATTGCTTGATCAAGTTAATTGATTTTGTGTAGATAACCATGTCGCTGGTGCAAAAAGGGCGCGAACTTCTAAAGCTGAGTCACGATATTTTGTAACCAAGGCGACAGTCCCCAAACTGTTAGACACAAATACCGCCCAAGCCAATCTTACAAAAAATTGCTTTCGCTGTGAAATATCTCTCGGTATATGCTTTCTGGAATAGTCATTGACTCCACTGTTATTCCATTATCTAATGTTTCGTCTTTTTTAATAAATGAAAAGCGATAAAGGAGTGTTAATAACAGAATCGTTCCTTCCTGATTTAAAAATGCAGATCAATGATCCCATTAAAAAAAATTATATGATTTCGTTACGCTGCAAGAAGAGACAGTATTGACGTCAAGTGATCTTGCAAGTACTATATATGGCTGCGGTCAGTGATATTGCTGATAAAACTTACCATGTGTGTCTAGATTTGGAATTCTTTCACAGGTAAATTTACTTCGTTTAGCGATAATTTGATTCGTGCTTTTACTTAGCAGGACGAAACAGTTGTGTTTGAAGCTAATCTCATGTTCATTGTAATGCATTGTGTGGTGAAATGTAACATTTTTTCGTAAATTATGAAATAAGAACTGTCATTGAAAATTTTCAGAGCCCGGCTAAGCGAACACTTAATTCCTTCGCTTAGGCCTATTATATAACAAAGTTGCTGCTCTCTGTGTTGCAAATGATTAAACGGAAAAGGTCTTTTGGAGAAACAAACACCTGACGACTCAGCGTATATTTGGCAAATGAAATACGTCAAAAACACTTATAAATCTAAAGGGTTGTTTGTTACACATATCCTCAAACTGCGTTGGTGGTTTTTTGCGTTTTCAATGCAATTAATACAAAACACTTTTTTCTTAAATATCTCAAATAAAAAAGCACCGCAAAAAATCGCAAAAGAATCCTCAATCAATACATCCTTGTCTACAGCCAGAATAACAGCGTCTAATTCTCACAGTTTTTTAGTCTAAATGCATCCCTGATGAATTGTTTCGTGTCGCCAGACTGAACCATTATTTTGTGTCAAATCTGAACATCTCCTTAACTAAATATATTACTCAAAGTGCACATATTAGGACGTTAACCTTTTAAAGTATAAAAACAATAATAATTTACAACTAAATGGCGATCAGCTGTAAGTTTAAGAGATCTTTGAAAATTCAGTAGAGACACTGAGTTGAAGTTTAACCTACAGTAGTAAAGAAATGTATCTAGGGCATGCGTGTGAGGAATCGATTTTTTGAGTAATAAACTGCAGTAGAGCCCAGTTTCTCGAACTTATATCCTAGGTTTTGGTCAAAAGGTTCAAAAAACAGTGATTTCCCCCATAAGGGTCTATTTTGTTCGTGAAGTCCCTTTACCATTATTTGAAAGTATTTGCCACGATACTCAACTTTTTTCAGTGTCTTAACAATGCAAGTCAATTAACAGTAACACTAAAGTGACACCAGTTAGTCTGTTTGAAATGACTGCAACCAGTATACACAAGTAACTGAACCCTACGATACAGGCCTTACGGTATTAATACTTCTCTTTAAAATTAGGTAAGTTAGTCGCCGTCATTAAATATGGCATTCGGGCTAGCCTGGGTTTTGAGCCATTCCTTTATTGCCTTTTAAAAACATCTTCTTTCATCCCGAGGTACCATAAAAACCATGCGGAATTTCTCCTATTTTTTTTTTTTTTTTTAGAAAACATCTCTATTTTTGGAAATTTTTGTTTGATATTTGGAAACGTCTACTCCCTTTGAGTCAGCATTTCAAATCTTCATGACATCAGTTCCAGAGACAAAAAAGAACGAGGAAGCTGAATTTCATTAAAAAAATGAGGATAGTAGCAAAGTTAAAAAGCACTTTCGCTTGACATAATGATATGTTTTTATTATGAAATGTTGCTACCTAAGAAACTTAAATAGTTTCCACCGACAAAACTGAGCATTTCATCGATGAAAAACACCTTCAAATTCAACTGATTGAAACGTACAAATTCGTCTTTACCCTTAATTGCGTTTTATGGAAAAATAAAAAAATCAGTTTTAAAATAATCCTTATCCTTCTTGGATCTTAATTTACGGATAAATGTTATCTCCACATATAAAACTATTGCACCAGTTTTTCAAAGATGGCATTTCCATGAAGTGAACCGATAACCTTTTAAAAAAAATGTCTATTTATAATTGTCGTAACCCCCCCAAGGAATAATTAGTAACTGATATGTGCCCAGCTGACTTATTACAGTCAGCAAAAAGAAAAGTCGTAAAAGTCTTGGACATTCTAATTCCTTCATAGAGGAGGGCAATACGATAACGTTACTGTTGTCATGACAGCAATGCATGTTAAAAAACCCTGCATATATGATAGCGGGAAATAGCATTTTCGGTAAGTGACGATAACCACAGAATATTAGGAGAGAAGCTATTATCATCGACATAGAACAATTTGTCCAAAATATCTACTTTTACTGGTTATGTACAGCTTTTTGGAATATTAAAAATCGAATCCATATTTTCAGTCATAAATTGGTTATGCCGTGTACCGTCATCAAAGATCACGCATGTCTACAACAATAAATTAATTAAATTGGCGAGCATTCTTGTAAAGAAAATTGCGAAACGAAGTTTCTCATGTGGAAGAAAGTACATTGATCCAAAATAAAACCAGCTGTATTTCTTTTAAAGTCTTACCAGTAGGAGTAATTTAATTTGCTTGATGTTCAGGCTCTTCTTAAACGTTTATTTGGTCAGACTTTTTATATTCCTCGGAGTGTTCTTCTGAATTTGTTCCAGTGACGCGTTTTTTTTTTGTTTTACTACTGATACCAAATTAATTTGCACACTTACGTACGTCCTTGCTGAAAGGAAATTTGGGTCCAGTGAATGTCAAGCCTGAGTGATTTTGATCTGTTCTTCCTAACTTTATAGGTCGATTGACAAATTTTACATCTTATTTTCATGTTTATTAACAGAAAATGAACATTTAACAATATTAAAGGTACTATTTCTAAAATTGCAGGTTAAAATTTTATTGCTTTTTGATGAAAAATTCTGTTTAACATCTTGATTATAGAAATGGACATCATTTCACTCTTAAAATAGTTATTAATTAGTCAGGTGATTCTCTTACTTGTTTTAAATACATTTAACAGATATCTGGTATCGAACGCGGCAAAGAAGTTAGAATGGTTTATCTTGATATTAGCAAAACTTTCGATGGAGTGTAGCACAAGGGTCTTCTCTTTAACTTAAAATCCGTCGGTATCAGAGACCCTCATCTAGGTTGGCTTACGAATTACCTCTCTCATCGCAAGCAGCGAGTGGTCATTGATCGACAGTCATCGAACAATACCGGAGCAATACCTCAAGGATCTGTGCTTGGTCCACTATCATTCTTAATTTCTATTAACGAAGTCACTGATAAACTTAAGTCTGATGCCTTTCGTATGCTGGTGACACCTCCTTTTTTGACATAGTAGATGACCCAGTCACTTCTTCGCTTAAACTTAATAATGATCTTTCTGAGATCGAAGACTGGGCTCGGAGAGTGGCTTGTTACTATCAACCCCACGAAGACGGAATGTATGACCTTCTCAGTAAAACGTATGAAGCCACTTAACTCGGATATATTATGCAGCGATAAAAAAATTATCGAAGTCTCACAGCACACCCATCTAGGTATTGTTCTTTACAACAACTTTTCTTGGAGAGCCCATATCTTTAAGATTTATGATAAAGCCTCTGAGAGGCTTAATATTCTGAAAGGTATAAAATACAAGGTTGATAAGACTACTTTAAGAAAAGTTTACATATCTTTGGTGAGTCCTCTAATGGAATACGCTGATGTATTATGGGATAGATGTACTGAAAGTGAGAGCGATCTCCTCGGGCATGTGCAATATGAGGCAGCTAAAATCGTAACCGGAGCCATGAAGGGTGTAGAAGGCCTAAATGTAATAAACGGTCCTAAATGTAATAAAGTCCTAAATGTAATAAACTCTCAAGCTGCCAATTACAGTAATTACTCGAATAAGCCCCGCCCTCAAATAAGCGCCGCATTTGGGGGGTAGGGGAGTTAATAAGCGCCGCGGCGCTTATTCGAGTAAATACGGTACTAAGCGGTCCTGCTATGGTACTAAGCTACGCTCTCAAATAAGCGCCGCATTTTTTGGAGAAAAAGTTAATAAGCGCTGCATTCTACAGAATGCCACCAAAACCGAGTGAAGCTAGAAAAGCTGAAGGTGCTTGACAAAATGAACGAGCGACTGAGTACTATTGAATACGATATAAAGGATATTAAAGGTAATGTCGCGAAATTGGAAGAAGGCCTTAACTCTGTTAACAGTGATGTAGCAGAAATAAAACAAGACTTGGAGAAGAAAGCGGAGAAAGAGAAGCTTGAGGAACTGGAAAACGAAGTGGAGGAATTACGCAACAGATCAAGGCGAAACAACCTTGTATTCTATAATGTACCGGAAAAAAGCAGATGGACAAGAATCTGCAGAATTCATTCAAGACTTGATAGCCACCCACATGGGCCTAGAGATCCTATGTGGACATGTTGAAACAGAAAGTGCTCACCGTACACCAACAAGGCGAGCGAAAACTCCGGCAAGAAAAAGCCAAGACCCATTCATGTAGCGTTGCTACGATACACCGATAAAGTTAAGATCCTCTCTAACGCCGCTGCTAGAATAAAGGATAATCCCTTCCAAGGAAACTTAATTGGTATTGGTGCTGATTTCGCAAAGAGAACACAAGAACGACGAAAGGAGCTCGTTCCCTATAAAAAAACATATACAGAAGAAGATGGGGCAGGAAAGAAAGGTTTTCATTGCTTACCCCGCCACCCTGAAGTACCTGGACGAAAATGGCCAGGAGAATATAGTACGGAACGAAGAATTCAAGAAGATGAAAAGCGAAATGGAGGTAAAAGGAGCCTTTGACGGAAAGTTTATTCCCGCGCGAGGTTTATCGAACTCCGCACAGCATAACTCTAACACTCCGGCTAGGGAGTAATTTTTTGCATAATTATATTTGGTTAACGAAAATTCCAATACTTTAAATTAGTGTTTAACTCTGCACACTTAGCTGACAACAACATTCGCACAGGAAATAGATTTTACAAAATAGATGTTTTTGTTTCCGCTCTTTCCGTGTATTAAGGCGGCATGCTTTGTCAGTTCGTGTTATCTTTGTGTGTGTGTGTGTGTGTGTGTGTTTTTCTTACATCTATGTCTTGCTTCTTAGCTACAAAAATATTAAACTAACCCGCCAAAAATTTTTCAAACAGCTTCATATCAGTTTGCTAATATCACATTAATTCGTTACAAGGTATGAAAATGTTTATTCGCTAGTTATATCTAAATTCAGCTAGTAAGGTTATACTCAACATTAGACTCGCATTTTATTGTACTTTTGCAACACGACTGTAATACAATGTATTGTAATGTATTTGTAAAGTATCGTAATTTTTTTGTGTGTTTGTGTTAATGTTGATAGAAATTGAAATAAAAAGTTTAAAAAAAATTGTCACTAACATTGTTCCTCAGTTTAACAGCATTATAAATAAGCATTCGCTTCCTATAGTTGGTACGTGGAATAGGCAGCCGATACTGAGACAACTGAGTTCTTGTATTATGAATTGTGGTACTCAAAGATAACAGTTTCTCAGAGAGGTTATCCGATGCTAGCCTGCGAACAGCAGACGCATTTCCGGTCGTCGCTTCTCTCCCTCCGATGCACGTCCAAAACAGAAATAGTCAACTTTCAATACAGATGATATTAATACGCGAACATCTTTTTTGAATTTCAAAAATGTCATCATGCAATAGCCCTGCATTACAAATTTCCCAAACAGACACACAATACATAGGCAAGTTCTTCACAAAAATCCATCGATACCTACCCCCTTACTAAGTGCGACAATGCTGGGAACTCAAATCAAGCCTGTAACAGTTGCAAAGGTCCTGGGAGTGTATATAGATTGTCATCTTAACTTTAACGAACATATCACTAAGACTGCCTCTGACTGTATGTTTAAACTAAGGAGAGTTAATAGGATAAAGCATCTCTTAGATAAAAACACATTGATCTATCTTATAAATGCTTTCGTTTTCAGCAAATTATTTTATTGTTCGACGGTATGGAGTAGCACGAGCAAGAAGAGCGTTAGAAAACTTCAGCTAGTTCAGAACTATGCTTGCAGAATCGTGGCTGGTTTAAGAAAATACGATCATGTTTCAGAAGCCCTGAAGTCCCTTAAATGGCTTAACGTAAGGGATAAACTGCTTTTTAACGATCTAGTGATGGTGTACAAATGCTTAAAGAACCTAACACCTGGCTACCTTCACAGACGCTTCCAATATCGCGCAAAAACTCAGCAAAGAGTCACAAGAGAGAACAAAGACCTTACGCTGCCTCGGTATAGGCTGGCCACTGGCCAAAGTCTTTCAGCTACCGTGGGGCAAAACTTTATAACAGTATAGCTAAAGAAATAAGAGACACTGGAAATTTTAACCCTTTTAAAAAGAGAATTTTTAAATATCTTTTTAATTCATAGATAGTTTATTATTGAAATGTAAATAGCCTTTAAAATTAACGTTCATTATTATTTATGGCAATTCGTCATTTTATCATTGAAATGTAAATAGTTTTCTAGTTTATTTTATTTCATGTTATTTTAATTCGTATGTGTATGGCGGAAGAGTCCCCAAGGGGGAGCTATGCAATAAAGTATGTATGTATGTATGTGTTTATGTATGTAAGTATATTGCCCCAATGTAAAATCGTAACCTCGTTTTCAGGCAGCGGTGCAGCAAGCAAGCTGTTTATGGGTGAGTAAACTAGAAAAAATGGCGAAAGAATTCCAGCCATCCGAAGACGAAATAGTCGAGTTTCTGACTACACCTGAAGGGGAAAAAATGCGAGGAATACGCCAAAAACATTGCTGGATGGATGTCATCTACTGTTGAAGGAGTATCTGCCAGAAAAAAGTCGGTTTGAGTCCTAAAACCGTGCCGAGAAACAGGCCAATGTTTTGAAGAACGTCTGCGAGGGGGTAAGGTTGTAAAGAACTTAGAAATATTCTTAACAAATACATTCTCATAAAACAATTACTGAATTCGGCTTTTGTATGTTAAGAAGAATAAAGCAGATTTCCGAGGCTGTTATCGGCCTCAGTAGATAACATCCTCCTCGATCTGCATAGTTCTTCACAGCATACTCAGTCTAATTCAAAAATTTTAAATTACACAATATTTAACTGGAATGGTGAGCCAGAACGGCAACGCGTTTTTTAGAGCTACATCATGGAATGGCCAAGAAAGGTAGGGGTCGAGTATCCAGACCTATAAAAAGACGTTCCTCTTGAGTTTGGTCTAACTGCTGCACATCCAATCACAGCGGCAGAGCACTTTCTACTCAGGGGGACAGCTTTTGTCGAGTACCAATAACCATGTATCTTGGCTTCTTTGGATGATCTTTAGTCCATGTCGCCCTATTAGAAAGTTCCCACTGATCCTTAACAACAGTCAGAGCGGTGGCGCTAACGTAAAAGGTATCATCATAGTGGCGGATCCACGGGAGGGGTCTGGAGAAGCCGCCACCCGCCTTATTTTTAAACCAAACTGAGGCCCGAAGGTCCCAACTCCCCCCCCCCCCCCCCCCCCCCCCCCCCCCCCCCCCCCCCCCCCCGCCCCCGACGCCACCCCCCTCAACTACCACCCTTCCCTCCCTCCCTTCCTGCTCGGCGGTGGGGGGGCGGGCCCGCTGTGCGCTTCGCGCCGTTAGCGGCATGGATCTCGCCGCTGGGTGAGAGAATAGGAAGTGAAGATATCTGATTTTTCTTCTCTCTGTTTTTTCTTNACTGACGTCTATGTAACCAGGGTGGCGGCCGATTGACCTTGGCGCATCCATGCAATCATACATGTTTCTTTTTTGTGTGTTTTTAAGTCAGTCTTTAACCCTTTGCTTAAAAACGATTTAAAATGCACATGATAGTTTTGCTGAGGCGTAGAGGACTTTTTTTCCTTGATATCTTTTTAGTTATTTTGTGCAAACACTAAATAATTCGCCCATGAATTAATTCAAATATTATATTTTAGTCAGATTTTGTATATTATTTGCCCAATGTAGACTTACACGGTCCAATTAATACAATTAAATATAAAGTTTCAATTTTAGACCACGACAAACGCTAAACCTACACTGACTTCACTATCAGTCAATTTATCGGGTATGTTACCCATCCGACGCCAAATTCAAAGCAATTAAAATCAATTAGCACTCATTGAATGTCACCAGATAGTCGCTTTAGAGTACAGCCAGAGTAGTGTTAAAATTAAGTGACCACAAAAGGTCTCCCGCAAAAATACTGCATAAGCAACCAATCTTCAATATTGAGGTCAATATGGATACTTGGTTCCAATAGAAGTTTTAACTACAGCACCAACTCCACTGGCAATACCAGGCCTTACATTTTTTGTTCAGTTTGTTTGTAAATATTACACATTTTCCTTCAGAATTTGCAAACTTTTACTCTGGCTCAATTAAACAGCAAATATCGGCCAGGAAATATGTGACTATTTCCTTGAGTACGTGATGAATATTCTCCTCAAGAATCCATTATTACCGACAAAGGACTATTTTAGTAAGAGAAAATGAATTAAGTTTCGATATCGTTAATCTTTCACTTTAAACTTTGTGGAGGCTCAATTATATATATTACATAAATTCAAAATGTAGACCGTGAGCGGTCGTCCTTCTTTCCTCAGAGCCACGCGCAGTGAACGAAAAAGTAAAATTATGTAAACTAATGGTGAAAAGGAAGAGAAATTGGGGGAATGGGAGACCAACTTAAAACATAGATAATGCTTCTACGCCAACAAGTTACTTAACAGATTCTAATCACTTGTACCTTACTATTAAGGAGGCTAATAATGAGGCTTGTAATGCAAGAAGATATTGTAAATAGTCAAGCTTTTTTTCTTTAGGTTATCACGACTGTACGGCATCTATCTGTCTGTCCGTATCACAGGCTTACCAATGTGAAATGGCACACTTACCAGGTTTCTCGCCGGCTAGGTGGGATGTAGGCTAATACTGAGCCCTAGGATTTAACGTTCCAGCTAAACTTTGACCTTTTTATCAGACTACATCTAAACCAATGAGATCGACTTTAATCTTCACAGAACTGTGATCACATGGACAGTCGCAACGAGATGTGACAGTGTTCAATAGATCGTTGGTTTTTATTATGCATATAGAAGTACAACAAAATCATTAAAGAAATGTTTAAGTGTCACTGTCCGAGAAAGTGTTCCCGGGGCCAAAAGTTGTGGTCAACCGATTTGGCTGAGACTTGGCACAGAAATTGAGTGTGATGAGATATTTCAAAAGCCACTTTGGCTCATTTCTCTGACTTTTAGCTTTGGAGTTTCAGGGGGAGTCTCATTTTTTGCCCTTTGAGAATCAAAAATACTGCATTCCAAGGGAGATTTTTAAAGTGCAATAAAACCCCTTTGGTAAATTGTGCTTCCAACTGAATTTGACCATGAATTCTACCATACTAGAAATACGTGAATCGCAGGAGCATGCGAAGGACTTCGGGGGAAGGGACAAAAAGTTGAAAGGGAAATAAGGCAATAAGGAAGAAAATTTATAAATTTAAAAAACCTAAGCTACTCTATGTAAAGAAACAAAACAAAAAAGAACTAAAAAGGAACTAGAAAGAAAACTGAACGAAAAGGAAAAGAGAAAAAAGAAAAGAAGCGAGGAA